TGGATTAGGGCTATCTTAGTTTCTATTTATATCAAAGTACCACCTCATTGGATGTTACTAAGTATCCATATTCCTTCAAATTTATCCTTAACACAAGCTTACTAAGCTGGTACCAAGATTACTACTTAGATCTGACTTAGTGTAACCCATATCTACTAAATCAGTTTTAATGCCAGAAGTGTTCAAATTTCAGTAAGTCTATTCCTTTCCCATAGTTTCCTTTTATGTTCACTGTATCACCTACTAGTGTGCCTTCTCTCTATTTCTGGTATGTTCACCACTTCTCTCGCATCGAGCGCCAACTCTCCATATCGGAAAACTTCTTTCTGAGAACTTCCTTATATACTGATCTTCTATTCATATGGACTTAAGCCACAGGGCTTCGCATATATTCATATGCTTCCGTAGATTACAGAGTTTTTGCCTTCAGCTAGAATTGAACCGTTGACCTTGTCTGTGGAGGGAAAGGTGCCTAGAATGTTTATATTTTTTAATGTTTCTTGTTTTATTATATAACCTAAAGATTTATTTTCTTAAATTCTTTTCAACAGTAGATTATAAAAAAGCTACCAAATTAGTAGAGAAATCACTTCTCCTTGATCGATATTATCTTCTGCTATTATTTCTTCTATTAGGCTGTAAGCTATGATCACTTTAAGTTAACATTTGTAAAAGAGGTTAATAATATATTTTGTAGTTCTTTGTAGTATTTTGATTCTTCTAAGAGCCATTCCAAGCTTTTCAATAGGACTAAATCAAATGCTTTTTTTATATCTTGCAAAAGTATCTATGTTTTTTTATTCTTTTCTTATACTTCCTTTATTATTATATTTAACATATGTATTAGTTGCTCTGTTGAGTTGCTAGGCAAACCTGCATAGTTTGGTTTTTTGAGTATTTCTCTTTTTATAAATATCTTGGTTAGCCTTCTTGTTACTATCTTTATAACTAACTTTTTAAAAGTCTTAATTAATGCTATTAGTCTAATATTGTTCAAATTATATTCTCAGTCTATATCTTTTAGAATTGAATAGATTTGTGCTATTTTTTATTTTATTGACATTTTTCCTATTTCTAAAACTAGATTTGCGAAGGCTTTAAAGATCTTCTGTAATTTCTTCTTTGCTTGTTTTATTAAAATATAACTTATATCTGAAATTTCTAAGGCTGTATTGACTTTGAGTTCTCTTAATGTATCTTCACATTCTTTTTCTTTTATTTTTTCTTCTAACTTTTTATATCAGAATTCTTTAATTTACTCTTTTAAGTTGTACATCTTTATTTATTTCTCTGACATCTCTTCTAATTTGATTCTTCACTTTTTAAATTAATTTTAATAATGCTTTGTTAGGTTATCTAAAACAACTTTAGGTTTTGTTATTAAACTGACCTATCTTCATTTTGGATTATAAATCTATCCAAAATTATCTTTTTGTATAGTTTGTTCAGAAGGCTGGCAATTATTCATTTTTGGTCAGTTTTTATCATCTCATATCTTCTATTTATATTTTCTTTTATCTGTTTTCTTTAAACTTGTTCCTACTCTTTTTTTATTTGTTTTTCAGAATTCTTTGTTAGCCTTTTATATTATCTATTCATGTTTTTAATTATTGTTTATGTAACTTTGGTAATACTACTCCTATTTCTTTGCCAATGTTTTTAAGTTTATTGTTTATCTCTTCTTTTTCTTCTTTCTCTATCTCTTAGTTTCTTCTTATTTTTACCTTTTTAATTATTTGTTGAAGTTTGATTATATGCATATTCTGCTGTGGCTTCTTCTGATGCTATTTTCTGTTTGCTTTTGTGTTGAATATTTTCTTTTTCAAAATTTGCTTATTTGCTGCTTCTGTTATAACTTCTTCTATTGCATTCCATATATGATCTAGCATATCTGTACTATACATATTGCTTTTTCTATCTTTTTTTAATTGTTTCAGCACTTTTTTTTACTCTAATTGTACTTGAAGCTCTTTAGCATATTTTTCCTAGTCTTTTTGCTTTGCTTCTTTATACAGATATATTGTCTTATTTGGTTTTTGCATTTGGCTTTTGCACAATTCTGGTTACAATTACATGTTCTATCCATATAACTGTTGTTAATATCTTGTAGTCACTGCCTGTTATACTATCTGCTTTCTCTATATTGGCTTCTTGAAGGTCAGCAGCAATTGTTTCTGACAACTAGATATAGTCAATTATTGTTACTGCTTCTTGATTTGACCATGTATACACTTTCTCTGTTGGATGCAGGTTTCTAAAAGAGTCTATAAAATTCTGCCTTTTGAGCTAATTAAAAATTAGCAATTTTTATATTTTGTTATCTGTAAGTGCAGTCTGTCTAGTATGTTGTCAACTGTGTGATTGAAATTACCAAGTATAGTTACTTTTGTGTGCATTCTCTTGTTTGTTACAATCTTCATAGTAAGTTTATTTGAAACTTTTGTTGTGTAATTACAAGTTATTAAGTCTATTGATATATGAAGATTTCTCTTTATTTTGTACATAATACTGTTTAAATTCTACATTCTGTGTTAAAGATTGTTGGGATAAAAAGTATTATAAAACCAGATAGTCTTGTTAAAAGAGGTTCTGTTAAAAGTGAAATTGTTAGTATGAAGAACCTTGTTGGGACAGTAAGTATTGCTAAGGCAGAAGCTTTTGAGACAGAAAACTTTGAGACAAGAAACCCTAAGGTAAAAAACTTTAAAATAAAGAATTTTAAGATAGAAAACTTTAAGGTTTAAGACTTTAGGGCAGAGAACTTTGAGGCAGAGAACTTTGAGACAGAGAACTTTGAAGCAGAGAACTTTGAGATAAGGAACTTTGAGACAGAGAACTTTGAGGCAAAAAACTTGAGAGTAAAGAACTTTGTAGCAAAAAACTTTAAAACAGAAGTTCTTGGAATAAAGAATCTTGAGATAAAAAACTTTGAAGTAGAAATGTTGTTGGAAAAAGAAATCTAAATAGGTTGAGGTTGTAAAATTGAATCTTTTATTATAATTAAAAATATATTTATTGGCTTCATATTCTTCAACTAAATCATAATCAAAAAGCAAATTTTCTTTTGATTTATTATTTGCAACTGATATTTCACAATATTTGAAAGACTATTGAATAAGTTAGATATTAATATCATCTCATGCTTGTTTAACCCATTCTGCAACAGTATTATAAGATGGATGTTTTATTTTATTAGTCACAGTTAATTGCTTGATCTCTTGTGCTATTCATTTATTATATATAGATCTAATCTATTAAATAAATGATGTATATATAGGTGCTAATGATGTTTTTTAGCAATACTACTAAAAGGTAAAAAAAATTCTTTGTTTTGAAAAACTTATTAACTAATACATCAAGAGGTTAAATTTTTGATGTTAATCCTCTAGAAATTATTATAATATTAGTATTTTTGTTAAAAAGATTATTTTTAACAGAAGGAACTAAGTAATTCCAAAAAGAATCTATTACAAGTAGAGATCTTGGGTTTTTAGTACATGGTGTATGATTATTTCAAACTGTGTTTATCCAATAATTCATTTTTATCTCATTTATCCAACCTTTTTTATTAGTTCTAATTATTATATTAGTTGGAAATTTAAGACATGAAATATTTTTTAGCTTAAAAATAATCATAGCCAGTAATTTTTTACTATCTGACATGCAAGTAAGCATGACAGTAAAGTATAATTTTTCAAAACTACAAGTTCTAATGCCAATAGTTTTATTTCCTATATTATCAATAATTATATTGCTTGGCATATCAAAAGCAAGAGGTGTTTTGTCCAAATTACCTATTAGTAATAATAAGTAATTATACTAAATTCAACATTATTAAACAAAACTTAAAAAACTTTGCTGTTATACTTTTAGATCCTTAGGAAGTTTTGAGCAACAGTTGTTTTACAATGATTACTAAAATTATAACATCATAAAAACCTATCAAGCCACTTATTGCTCTATTTAAATTAATTAATATTTGGATATTCAGAATAATACTGTAGTAATTTTGCTAGAAAAGCTGCTTTTATTTGCACTATGATTCATCTTATAGGCTTTAACTTATTGTATAAGTCTTGAACCTACTTAGCAAGCTTAGTTTCAATATTAGAGTAAGTGGGCTGTGCATTAGTATTTAAATGTTTAACATAAGATTGAGCTAGCAATAGTTCTTCTTCTTCATTACACCATTTCTAAATTTGTTTTAGTTAAATATTAAATTTGTTTGCTGTTTCATAAATAGTAACACCTGAAATATGTTTAAGATAAGTGATTACAAAAAGTTTTTCTTGAGCTGTTTATTGTTAGTTTCTTTTTTGTTAAAATCTTATTTTTTAAGAACTTGCTTCAATCCATAATAAAATTATATATTCTTAAAAAAAAAATTAAATTTTAAAAAAAAAATTATCTTAATGTGTTTAATTTCAATACAAAAAATATAATTTAAAATTTAAATGTTCATATTATAGATGTATAAATATATATGAAAAAAAAACATGATTGTGCACTATAGAAAACAACTAAAATATTTTGCAAAAATTATATAAATATTTTTTTATAAGTTGCAATATGCAATATCTTAATTTATAATTTTTTTTTTAATTTCATTTTTTGCATTGGCTGATGTAAATCAATTGCCTAGGAAACTTATTTATATAGGTTAAAGTACTTTATAAGAATAGAATATATAAACTTTATACAAGTACTAAATGTGAAAAAATAGTTAAAAAAAAGAACGATTAAGACATTTAAAGTAAATTTAGATTTGAAAAAAAAACTCTTACTGTTACAATTTGTTAACTTTATTGTATTTAAGTTTAAACTATTTCTTTTAATAATTTTATTTAGTATTTAGTAGATTTAATATAGTTTTACAATAGTATAGATAGAAATACATATGTAGTATATGTATAATAAATAATAGAATTTTTTAAAAGTTTTTTTTTGATAAATACAAATACAACAACTGGGAGTCTGCAAAGTGCCTATTTTGAGGCCTAGCCTGGCCCACAGTTAGGGTTAAAAATTTTTTTTAGGCCTGGCTTGGCCCACATTTAGGATTATCATTTTTTTGCAGTCTGGCCCAGCCTGGTCTGCATTTAGAGTTATCATTTTTTTGCTGGCCTGGCTTGACCTGACCCACAAAAATTTCTTATATAATTTTACAAATTTTTAGGCCTGCACTGGCTCACAATTATAAAGTTTTGCAAATTTTTTGGCCTGATCTGGCCTGCAATTATAAAATTTTGCTTCAGGCTCAGCCTGGCCTGCAAAAATTTGTGGGCCAGACCGGGCTGCAAGACCTAATACAGGCCTCTAGCAACAACTAAAAAAATTTATAAACAGAAAAAAACATATCTGATCCAAAGTGAATTTCATATATAGTGTGATTAATTAAAACTAAAATTATTTATTTTAGTTTTATTGATCACACTATATATAGGATTTACTTTGGATTGGATACATTTTTACCTGTTTAAATTTATATTTTTAAAGGTAGTAGCATCTCTAACAAAGCCAGTAATAGTTAAAATATGAATTCTACTTAATGATACAATTAAATATATTTAATAAAAAATATTAATAAAGAATATTATAAATTCATTTGATTAAATTATATAATCTGATTGGCTAATTATCATGGAAAATTATAAGTAGATCTATAAACTTAGCCAATCAGATGAATGTTTTCTATTTAATATACCTTCTTTATATAAGACCTCCAATATAATATACTCACTGTTATACAATATACCTGAAGGGTATAAATCAAATTTTGATCATGTGAAATGTAAAATATCTAAGTATCTTGTACTATGTTTTATAGTAATATTGTGACCTGCAATTTTTATTATTATTTTTTATTTTTTTTATTTCTTTTAAGTGTTTGTATCTTGTTTCTGTATTTTCTGCTTTTTCTTTTTCTTTTCTTTTAGATTAGAGATTTTTTTTATTTCTTTCTTCAAAAGTCCTTCTTTTACTATGCAGAAAATCTCTGATCTTCTTATTTATATTTATAAGTTTAACTAAAATATTCTTAGAAGCAATTAGCTAGGCCTTTCTTAGCTGTACCTCTTGTTTCTTCTAGTCTTTCTAATCTTTTCTAAATTTATTCCAAGATGTTCTTTATATGTGGTTCTCTTTTTTGTTTATGCATTCTAAATTCTTCTGATCTTTTCTTAAAGTTTTCTACTTCTTTTTATTTTATCTTTGTATTTTTTGCTTGGTTTTCTCTATTTCAGTTTTGAAATCTGCTTTTTTTATTTAGTAAAATATCTTTCTGGCTTACAATATTTTTGTTTCTGTACTTTTTTGTATAGGTCATATTTCTTTGTTTTTCTTTGCTGTTTCTATTCTCTTTTGTATTTAAAGTCTGGCTGTGTATGTTTCAGCTTTTTCTTCATTCTACTCAAAGACTTTCTCTTTTTTTTGTTTCTTTTTTTTCTTTATTTATTCAATAACTTGAAAGTTGTTATATATAATCAGTTTTGTTTGAACAGCTCTTATGTCTCTTTCTGTTGCAAATATGACTATTGCTGTTCTTTTTTAGTTTTCATTTCTATTTGGTGGAATGTAAACTGATTTAATCTCTTTGTTCTTTAAAGTTTGTAGTAATAGAACTTCTAAGACACTTTCTAATAATTTTGTCAATTTTGCTATATATTTTCTTTGTTCTTTTCTTGCTTTGTGGTTTTTTATTCTTTTAGTTACTTGTACCAGTTTATTATTGTTTACTGGTTTAGTCTATGAAATATCTTCATATGTTTTCTCTATCTTGACTACTACTAAGACTTTATATTTGGATTTCTTAATTTTTACTATATAGGCTTTGCTAAATTTTCTACAGATGTATTTCAGTTCTCTTGTTTATATTTGCAGTTAAGTTTCAAATTGTTAGATAACTTGTGTTTTCTGATTCTTCATTTGTTTTATATTGGTTTTTGTTTGTCTTAATTTTATTTTCTTTTCATTCAATTTCTTCTTTTTTAGTTCTTAATTTGCTACTACTTCTTTTTTGACTTTTCTCTTTATATTGCATCTGTCTCTTTATAGTGTCTTCTTTTTCTTCTGGTATCATTCTATACTAGCTATTCTTTTTTTTGTTGATTCTTTGTATTGCTTTATTTCTGTTATACTTACAGTCAAAATCAACTTTTATCTATAGGTTTTTTCTTTTAAAGACTTCTTTAACATCTTTGACATATATGTTATTTCTTAAAGACTATCTGATAAATTTCATATGTTCTTCATTTGTTTTTCTTAATACATTGTGTACTAATATATTTGCAAGTAGGCTGTTGTTCTGGTTACAATTTTTCTTGCTTGGGGCCTATATGCTCTCTTCAAGAAGTTTTCCTACTATGTCAATTTTTTTTTTGAATTTTAGTTTGATGTCTTTTTGTTCTTGCTTCTCTTTTTGTTTTTCAATATTTCTTTTTTAGCTAAATAAATTTTCTTTTTTTAATTATTGTTTATCTGACTTACCTTTATGCTTACTTTTCTTTATACACTTTTTGTATTGTTTTTTATTTCTTTTTTAACTGTTTTTTCAATTTTTGTTTTTCTTTTCTGTGACATTTTGTATGCTTTTTCTTGTTTTTAATTCAAGTTCATTAACTGTTATTAAATCTTTTTTCCTTTGTCTTGCATATGTTTTGTTGTAGATTTTTGTATTATACTATTTTTGTTTTGTTTGATGACATTGATTTTCTTTTTTAGCTGCTTATTTTCTGCTTTCTTAATTATTTCTCTAGTTATATATAACAAAACAAGCTTCAATGCATCTTGTTCTGTTAGCATGGTCATGATTTTATCTTCTCTGTCTAGTGTTACAAATACTTTATTAATTTGATTAAAAAACACCTTGTTGTATATGCTATTTACTGCCCAATATGCTCTTTTGATATATGTTGACATTAGACTTTCTTTTTAATTTTGTGTGCTACTTATATTTAGGTTAATT